TTGCGGAATAAATTAACATTTAAAGATCTTTGGTATGTTGGATTGAACTATTATGCCCCGTTTGATTGGCTTCTTTTTCCATGGAACTAGGAAAATTTTTTCCGTTTTCCATCTTTTGCGCCGTTTGATAGCCTAAATTTTCTATGGAAAATATTTTCCTCCCCAACCCGCTTCGCCAGCCGGCTGCTAAAAAAAAAATTTTTTTTTTTTTTTTGGCAATGGAAACAAATATCATAACCAATTGTAAAAAAAAAAATTCACTTTAATGGACAATTTCCATGTAAAACAAAGTCAAACGAACATTAAGGGTGCTTTTGATTGCAAAGATGGAAATTGCAAAGTCAAACGAACACTAACGAATTTTTTTTAAAAATTATTTTAATATTTAATATATGATTGACGAAATTGCCCCTCCTTAAAATGGTCAAATACCTCTTTTTTTAAAAAAAATTTTCTGGTCAACTAACAGTGTTTTAGACAGTTTCCAGATAAACCTCAACTACATATTTATGAAAGGTTAGGAACCTTCGCTGACACAAAATAAAGGTTAATGTAAAATCTGGAAAAATAAAAAAAGGTTAGGGACTGTTGCTGCAATTTTCCCCACCAATTTATATGAAGGCATGCACCATTACATTACAAAATTAACTATGAATACAACTTATTTATGATATAATGTCACATTATATGATAATAATCCCTTTAAGAATATATAGCATTACTCTTCTTTAAAATCTATAAATTTTTAGATATTCATTATAAAATTTTATACATTTTAAAATAATTTTAATAGTCACGAAATATTTAATTAAGACTCTTTAAAATCATTTGAAATTCATGGACAGACTTAGTGACTCCATAGAATTCATTTTAAGTATGGACTTTTTACACAATGTATCATTACAAAACCTCACAAGGTTATTTTGCCCTCTCATATAATTCTAATTTATCAATATCTATAATCTAAATACGTTGTGCTTGTTAGTTTACATCTTGTTAATGCTTTAATATATGGATGAATACCGTGTGATTTGATTCGTGTATCTTGAGAATTGGATCGTGAAAATCGTGAAAGTGAACTATTGGTTCCCATAAAAAGAAAACAGATCGATCGGGGCCAAATCATAATCGATTGGTTTTATCTGATTCTTATTTCCTCCATGGTACCGCTTGGTTCTAGAATAGGTATGATTCGATACTTTTGTACCTCAAAATAAATTTTATTTTTAAACAATAAGATCTCAATTATTATGAAAACATATGAATTTATACAAATTAAGATTTAACTAACAACTTATTAAAAAATAAATATGGAATGGAATCAACGTTTGGTTATGTAGCTAGAAACAAGAATTGAACCAAAATCGTTCAATTTTCAATTTTAAAACCCAATAATCGATCTCAATTGGAGTGAGACTACACCGACTAGTTCGACCCAGAGGTCATGTGACTTGAGTAATAATGTCAATATTTACTTAAATCTTTTTATTTAATTTTCCATACTCATTTAATAGTAATAATAATTTTAAAAAAACTATCCTAATTATCATTAACATGTTGTCTTAATAGCAAGTTGGTCTCAATCTTAAAAACAAATGAAATGATCATCAACCTTTTCATATTGTACACAGCCAGTTCCAACAATGAAAACTCATTCGAATTTTCATTAAATCCTCGCTTGATCTTCATTAAAAACATATCTCACTTTAAATTTCTAAACCTACCTAAGTTGAAAAATAAGAACCTAATTTTATAAAGTTGAACATTTGAAGGCTAGAAATTAAGGGGCACTTCTATTTGTATTTGAGTTTTGAATTCATTTTGGATTTTGTGTTTTGAGTGTCCATTTTGAGATTTGTTGAAAATGTGTTTTTTTTGGCATTTTGAAAACATCTAAAACGTGTTTTGAAAATTGTGATTTGATTGTAAATGAAAACACCAAAAAGGACAAATTTGTTGTTTTGAGTTTTTTTTTTTTGTAAATTTTTAACTTGTTTTCAAAAACACGTTTTCGAAAATGGGAAAGAGAACGCGTTTTCACTGTTTTGAAAAATCGAAAACAGAAAACGACTTAAAAATGGTAAAGAGACCAGGCTCTAACACACTTCCCATAATTGGAGACTATTTGGACAGATATAATTTAAAAATCGAAGGTCAACGTGCTATCAAAACAATAAATTAAAGGCTAATTGTGCAATTTTTTCTTTAATAAATTGGTAGGAAATCTTTATTAATTGTATGAAAATTTAATTCATTTATTTATTTTATTATTTGCAAAGAGTTAGGTAGGAATTCTTATGATTTTTGTGGGAATATGGGGCCAACAAATAATGCCGTAAAATTCAAATATGTCGGCGGGTTAGCATATGCTACTGACCGTTGGAGAGTCCTCTTCTCAATTAGCCGTTTGCGGTGCCAACCTCTTCAATGTCATTTTTCATTTATTTATTATTTTCTGATCCTACTGATAACTGGTCTATCAATAATTTTTGAAAAATGTATCCCAACATATTGTTATAAAATATTTGTTTAAGGTGTTTCTCTATTCAACCATTTGTCCTTAAATAAATAACGATCAAACTAGTAGAGTCCCATGAAAAGTGGCCTAACATATTACATGCATGACAATTGAATGCAATATATTCTTTTACCCACCAAGATAGCGTGTGGGATTGTGAACCTATTTGTGCCTAGGACACAATATTACGATGTAATGAAACTTGACCATTGAGTCGTTGGGATGAAATCAAGTGTCAGATATTCAGGACCATACGTAATATTTTTTGAAAATGAAACGAATTTCATTGAACATCGCAATAGCCAACGGTACACGGAGGAAAAACCTCCAACACAATGCCCTGCAAAGAGGGTTTAACCACGACATTTTATAAATCCACCGACTTATAATATCAAAAAGTTTTGTCAAACAAGGGTTTAGTACACTCACTAATTTTTTATTCACTCGAGGGAACAAATTATTCAATCCTAGATCAATAATGCCCTTTTTTATAATTTTTTTGCTACTCATCCGAGGTTCGAATCACTAAATTCCAGCACAGTAAACCTTTTTTTTATCAACACTTACACGAAATTTTAATTTCACATTTTTTACATAAATTGATTTAAAAGTATATGTTACCCCTCGATTCCGAGGTCTAAAGGAGCAAAGCCACGTAGGCAAGACAGTCAACAAAAAGTCAAAAGGAGGCCCAATAGGTCAAAGATCCCAGTAAAGCATTAGGCCGAGATTATGTGCCACGCACATAATATGAAGGATCCTCTGAAAGATAGCATGGGATTCAGTCCAGGGAGCCTCGGGTTGGAGGCCCTCATGTGACGAACCTCAGACTGATGCACTCCCTTAAGGCACGATCCAATCCGAGGCTACTACAAGGTCCGTCGAAACCCATAAGCCAACGTCGCCTCAACAGATTCAAAGATTTCTTAGAAATGATTGATGGGACGTCCTAGTAAAAGTGTCAATAACTTTTCTATGGTGTTGTCAGCCTACTTCTAGTGCGGCTGACTTCTATTAAATATTAAATGTAATGAATGAATGTGATGTGAAGATTCAGTTTAGGAGATGTTGCTGCGTGGATATGATCTAACGATCACCACGTTGTTTGAACAATATAAATAGTCTTCCCTTGTATAGAAGAAGGGGAACTTTTTTTTGGGAGGCAGGGAGTTGGACGAGATTTTCTTTGGAGTAAGACAATCGATATCGAAATCACAATATATTACAAGAGATTTTTTCCTTCTTTATCTATCCTTCCACATATTCCATGACAAAACAGATATTCATTTTAGGAAAATCAATCTAGCCCTTGTTGATAGCGCAATGGCTGTTTAAATAAAATTGTCGAAACTTGAACTGTTGTGTCTCTTGCCGGAAAGCACCTCCCGCGCTCTTTCCAACCGTGCTATCGCTCTTGTTCCGGTAGAAACGCGTCGGATCATTGCTTGACGTGGCAAGAGTGGGCCCGGCATCTGTTGGTTTCATTTTTTGGGGTCAACAGTATATACTCGTGTAATTTTTTGGTTTCGAATCATCCAACAAACATATAAAAAAAGAAAAGAAAAGAAAATAGAAAATGCAATTTTGTGAGTATAAGAAACTTTATAAATATGTATGACATAACAAGTAACTTAATTAAAAGAAAATTATGTATGATTGTTCTTATAACAATAAAAAATATGAAATAAAATAAAATTGTCATGCATTATTCATGCATTTAAGGTGGTTGGTGTAAAGATCCAAGTCCAACTCTATTCATTTGTGAGGGTTTAGGTGCACACTCGCCGGCCATACAATCTACCAAACACTTCTGACCTTTAAAAACGACTTCATCTTTAACAAATTTTAAACATATTTTTCTCCAAAATTTTCTGAAAATTCACATATTTTTCATCTCATAAGAATGGGAGAAGTAGAAAGAAAAAAGATGAAAATATTGTGCCTGCATGGATTCAGAACCAGTGGAAGCTTTCTCAAAAAGCAAATCAGCAAATGGGATTCTTCTATTTTTGCTCATTTTGATATGGTATGCCAATTGATATTTTCAGTTGTTTGAATGGATGAATTGTTCCACCCCATCGTTTAAAAGTTAAAATTGTTAGACATGAGATAAACTTATTTATTTAAATTAGGTCTTGAAGTGCAGATTATTTGAAGTATAATTGTAAATTAAAAATTATCCCTTGGATTAAATCGACATAATAATAAGGCGTAAGAAGGCTTTCCATTCGATGGAATCCCATCCTTCCGTTTAGAGAAAGAAAAGTGATATATTTGCTAAATTGCGAGTTTAAGGGGTTGTATGCGTCAAGTATGGCATTGAAAAACATATAATGTCCATACTATACGAGGATATTTTGGGATTCTAATTTTGAAGGCATCAGAGGAGTGACACTTGGCCCTTGTTTGGTTTAGCTAAAAAAATTATATGTTTAGTAGATTTTTTTTAATAAAAGTTGCGCGTCTCATGAAATTTACATTAAAAATAAATTCAAGAAAAAATAAATTAAATGGGGACCAACGAGAGCTTAGTATTACAAATTTTTGAGTATGTTTTGCTAGTTTTTTTAATCGTGTTGCTTTCAGGAGTAGAGATTTGAACTTGATCAATAATATATAAATGAGAGCATTTAATCAATAAAATATATAAAAATAGCTATTTGAGAAAAAAAAATCGAAAGAGTGGACAAAGGAGGTTTACTTTAGTACAGTTCTTCATCTCTTTCCAATCATACTCTCGACAAATGTATCAACAGAGAATTTAATTTTATTAATTAGATGGCCTTCCCGAGCATACCCTACATGAATTTTTCAGGATTTTCCAGATGGGATTTATCCAGCCGGAGGGAAATCTGATATCGAGGGCATATTTCCGGGCCCATATTTTGAGTGGTTCCAGTTCAACGAGGTATATTATTCGTTGTCAAAATTAATTGATACCAGAAAATTACGCACTCGACAGTATTAAAGGAAAACAATAATTAAAACGTTACTATTGTGTACCAAATGTGTCCATGTGATATGGTTTTCTAAAAACTAAAGTGTTATGCTGTTTTTCTTAGGACTTTACGGAGTACACAAACTTGGAAGAATGCATAAATTACTTGTGTGAGTACATTACCAGCAAAGGTCCATTTGATGGTCTGCTCGGCTTCTCTCAAGTACACATCTCTGCTTTTTGTACAATAACTTTGATTCATATATTTAAATCAGAACTTGTTCTAAAATACCAAGAAATATATCACATCAATTGAAGTCAATTCTTGATTCTTTCACAGGGAGCAACCCTAGCAGCCCTTCTCCTTGGGTATCAAGCACAGGTACTTCAGTCAAACACTTGATTGAGATTAATTTACGTCAGGGAGGATAGGAAGTCTAATCGTTTTCAGTATTACAAACTAAACAGGCACGTAGCGTTCAAGAACTTTAAAATACCAAAATAAATACGATAATTTTGTTTAGTGTTATCTAGTATTTTATACTAAACGTGGACGTTAATGTGTTTTGTAGGGAAAGATATTGATGGACCAACCAAAGATGAAACTGTATGTATCCATATCAGGTTCAAAGTTTAGGGAGCCAAGCATATGCGAGGTTGCATACAAAGAGCCCATAAAGGTTAAATCAATTCATTTCATTGGAGAAAAAGACTGGTTAAAACTGCCATCTGAGGAGCTAGCCACTGCCTTTGAGAACCCTCTCATAATAAGTCACCCTCAGGGCCATACTGTGCCAAGACTAGGTGTGGGTCATAAATGATTTTTTTCCCATCCCTCAATATCCTCTTCATTTCAAAAATAACAGAGACACTAAACATACAAAGAAATTTGAAACGAATAATGTCCTTAAAGCTCTTTTTCACTTTTCTTCCAACCTGATGTGTTCAATTCTATATATGCAGATGAAGATGCTGTTCAGAAACTGAAAAATTGGACTGAGGAAATATTTCTTGATCTCTTTCAAAGCAAAAGCACGCCACTTCAGAGTTCAGAGGATGCTGAACTTGGAAAAACAAAGAATGAAGAAGAATCAAAAAGTTAAATAAGAATTGTGACAAATATCTGAAAAATCATCAGAACTGAGAAAACCTTTAAAATTATGGGATGATGATATTTATTCAAGTTTATTTTTTTGTGAAAACAAGAATTCGACTTCTTTCTTCTTGATTATTTTTAATGAAGAAACTTGTGAGCTTTAATGATATATTCTGCACTCTGCACTTTGTAGACACTTTTAGAATATTGAACCATATGAGTTTCATATCGTTTGACATGGTATTGGAGTAAGGAAAAATCTGAATTCAAGTTTTATTATTATTCATTTATTAAAATTGTGCACGTGCCAGACTTTTAAGGAAAAAAATGAAGCTAGCCTGTACATACATGTAAAGGAGCAAGTTAAAGACATAATTTAAATAAATACACGTAATCCCTCTCTAAGAGCATAAGCTTAGATGAGCATAATTTGTTCTTAATGAAAGCTTCGACAAAATAGTTTTTAATAAAGACAAGTAAAAAACCTTTCCCCAACACGTCAATATATAATACTTATCGTAAACATAATTAAATATTGCAGAAAGGGGAAAATAACTAAACTTTGCATGAACATGTTGTAATTTAACATAATATTTATAGGGCCTCGAAATATTTTCCAGAAGGTGAAGGTGACTTAGTTTAAAGGATGGCAGGGCCGGTCCTCATATTTTTCGGGGCCTTATGCCAACTTAAAAAATGGGGTCTCTATGAATATTAAGTCCTTATTTGATAGAGATTAAAATAAATTTTTTAACAAATTTTAATAAAAGTTGATGAAATGTGTGGTTGAAAAGTCATGGGTCCTACGAAATGTGTAGTAAAAATTAATTATTGATTTTTGACTTAGAAAATAATTAAATACAATTAAAAAACAATAAACATAATCTGGAAAATAGGAAGACAAAATACAAGATTTAAACTCCAGTATAAACATAAAAAAGGAAAAAAGAATAATAAGTGGATTGAAAAAATTCCAAACCAGATTGCATAACACATAGAGAAGCATTGATTTAACTAAAATATTAATCAATACAATGACACTGAAAAACTAGAAAAAATGGACAAATAAAACGAAATGCAAGAATCTAAAGAGGGAAATGAATATTAGTGCATTTAGCAACAATTCCTTGAATTAGTGTAAGACCACCATGAGAACATTAGAAAAAAGTAATTACTGTAATTTTTGAAGAGAGAAAATTGACATTTTGTTTCTTCCCAAGAAAAATAAAAATGATGGTTGAGAAGATAAATTGTCAAATTAATTATATATAAAGAAAGTAATGGACATGATACATAAATGTATGTGATCATAAGTTTTATATCATATTGTTTGCATATGATAATTTTAATTTAAAGAATTTCGTAATTATAATTTTTGTTTTTCTTTGGCCAATAATTAACCTTACATAATTTGGGATCCTCGTTAAAGCGAGGTCTTAGGCGATCACCTACGCCGCCTATAATCAAGGCCGGCCCTGAAGGATAGCTTGTTTTACTCGCTTCAAGATCAAAATTTCGCTCTTAAAACTTCGTATTTCTTGTTTCAAGTTCAAAGTTTGGTTTGCAAATCAGAATTTTTATTCATCGATTCCTTTGTGACTACAATGCTAAGTTCATTGGAAAAAAATAATTCTATGCTACGATGTAATTTCTCATATACATTTGTGACCAAGGGAGAAAATTTTCTTAGGAAAAATTGTGAATTCCATGCTTGGATTACTTATCAGACACTAATTATTAATTCAATGCGCTATATTCATTTGAATGATTATGGAGAATAAAATTTAGTATTGCATGAACTACATGTCATGTCCAATATAGTATTGTGCATTATTTTATTTATTTTAAAAGTTGTACCTCAACGGGTCTTATTTCCACAGAGGAATAACGCTACTTTGTCAGAAGAATTTGGCCAAATGTAGTGACAGAAGACACCGTGCCAGGAGGTGATTGACTGAAAAAGTTGATTGTATTTAAAACAGTTAATTGATAAAATGTCACGTGGTATTATGTCAAACTTTCTGTTTATATAACATGATTGTTCCACAGATTTAGGAGCAAGGGTCTTCGAACAGGATAAAAAGATACACTCGAACCCTAATAGATTGGCACGCAAGTATGAAAAGGATATGTACCTAATAGCCTGTTAGCAAAAATTTATGCTAATAGATCAGCAAAAAATTATATAAATAGGGATTTTTTATCTTGTTGATAGTTATAAATAGGGATACGTACCTAATGGCCTGTTAGCATGATTTTTGAAAAGTCAAAAGGAGTTGTTGAGATCCAAAAGCCACTTTTAAACCCGTTTGGTTAATTTAAGTGCTTCTAGCTGTGAATAATAAAGAAAGCTGATGCAAAAATATTCGAATATCTTGAGCAAAATACGTGAACGTTCTTTTGTTATGTAAATGGGATTCATTCCAAAGGACTGAGACGAGTCGGACACAACAAATTAGTTCATTGCTCATTTCACCACCATGTTCCTCCTTGGTGTCCTCTTTGTTGCAGCTGCTACTCCATCTCAAAGTGTTACCATCAATGGCCAAAACGTCGTGGCCATCAATGGTCAATCATGCTTCTCGGCCACTGCAAGCAGCCCCGAGCAAGACCTTGTCCAATATTGAGCACCAAATTACACCTGTTTTTCCTTTCCGACAAGTTGTTTTCAACAATTATGCATGGAGTTGTTGAGAATTAAAAATCTTAATTCTATACCACCAAGGACAATGAAATCACAGTAAGAAAATAAAGACAAAAAATGCAATATTTATAAATGTTCATCTCAATGTAAAACTACGTCCTTGTCCATAGCTACAATAATTCACTATGAAGAAAAAAAACTTACAAAAGAAAAATCGCACACCCTGTTTTCTAACCTCTCTTTCTTATGATGATTACAAAACTCTAATGAAAGTTCCCTATAAATAAGAAAATTAGCAGAAAAAAAAAATTACAAATATGAAATTCCCAAAAGATGGCAGGCTGATGTCCTAATTGCACCTTGTTGGGACTAGAGAAATATACCTGTTTTTTAGGAAGACAAAAATAAAAAAAAAAATGCGAGGCTGGGCCAAAGATGAGCCTTCCTTGATAGAAAACACGAGGCAGGCCAATTTACGACCCGAGTGTATCTTGATTGTAAGACACGAACATTCTAAAAGACATTGGTTAGACAGCAGTCCCGATTCTTGTGATGTTACTATAGAGGGAAGAACTTCAAAAACGAAAACAAAAATCTATAAATAGTATAACAGTACATTATATGTCTCAAATTCAAGTAATCCATGGTGCTGTAGGAGTTATGAAGGGTGAGAACATTGCCAAGTTGGAAGAAATATGTTCACAAATTGGAAAGAAAAAAGCACATACAGGGAAAATCAACTAATCTGCATCCATTTCTTCGAGTGCGGCTTTCGCTGTTGCTTTGGCTTCCTCTAATAGATCATCTGGAACCTGGTAATGGCACCAATCAAATAGGTAATTCAAAATTCAATGATTTGAAGCTTTTTTTTTCCACAAAGATCATACAGTTTCCACCATATACTTGAACAAAGGCATGTGAATTAAAATTATATGAACCAGAAAAATAAAGTAAAGAATTAACAGAAAGGCAATAAAGTATAAACTCTCAGTCCGTACAGTGGTCTCATTCCCAATCTGATTATGAGATCATCACTGTGGTTAAAAATAATAATTATAAATAATGATCCCCAAACTTGCTTTACTACATGCAAAGCCGAAACTAAGATAAAACAGGATGGATCCAAGTAGAAACCTCTCTAATTATGAAAATTTCAATTCTTGTATGATAGCTAAATAAATGAGCTCAAAAGGATACTGAGAAGGAGCCAAAATCACTAGTACAACTGTACAATGCGATACAGTTCCTGTAACATTTTAATTCTGAATAATTTTCCCCTGTGACTTTGTTACCAATGTCATCTATCACACATACATACATCCCATATATGCATAGATAATTACATACACAAGTAATTAAAATATGCACACATTATGTACGCATACAAGGATGGTGTACATGTACATTTTCCAAATAGGCATGCTAGTTATTTTCTCCAAAGGGCAATCTATATTTTTAGTAATACAAGTTTACTATTCTTATATACTTCACAATCAAGTATGCTATTTTAGTACTTTTGATAACGTTACTTCAAAACTGCCACAATATATCAAGTGCCAACAAGCAATGTTTAATTCGATAAAGTTCAGTTGTATACCTAGGGGGTAAAACATAGGGATGAGAGAGACGAACGGAAAGAGACCCAATGGCAAAGCAATGCAAGGGGAAAAGGCCATTAAAATCTGTAGGAAAAAAACTACAGGTATTAATACGTCCCTTATTCACCTTTTGATGCAGGCGATTTGACTCGTCACAAACCCAACTCATTTCCAACTCAAAAGCTTTATCCTTTGCCTCGTCGTGTACTCCATAAATTCTGCTTATTAAGAAAACAAACAAGGACATCAAAAGATGAAAGAGAATGCTCATTAGAACTGAATATAGAAACAAAATAAGGAGGGCAGAAACATGTATTATCTAGCAGAAACTATCCAGTGCAATTAAATATTACTGGAGGTCATTATAGTTTCACAACACGACAGACATGATGCATAAAAAAGACAATTGATTGCTAATCCTAACCTGAAACATAAATGCACCAAGAGATGCTTTACTATCGTCAAAATGCGTAAATTGTTATAAGAAACCACATAATCAAAAAACAAACTTGAAGCTATACAATCATGTTCACATTTTTACCATTGTCATTCTATATTACAGGTATAATGATAAAAACGAAAAGATCCAGAGGTTGAATAATCAAATAAACTAGCTGTTGAGTGTTTACTGCCCATGAACCACTTAAGGAGCAAGGAAAAGATTTCATATATTTTCACTTTTCATGACATTCTTAACAGATAATAAATGATGCTAAGCCAAACTGAAGAGGAAGTGATCATAATGCATTTTTAGCTTGCTGAAGTTTATGAAAAACTACTCTGGAAGGAATATCCTTTATTGGCGCTGGTCATGAAAATAAGGATACAACTTTTATAGCAAAGTCTTAACCATAAATATCAGATCATCCATCTAGTGTAGCAACGTGCCTTCATGAGCAAGTTATAAAGGAGGTTAAAAATAAACATGTAGGATAAGCATTGTCTTTTAACCACTGACAGTTTCTTATACGTGAACACAGAAAACATCTCAGCAACACTCTGAAAGATAGAAATAGTTGAAATAAATGAAAAAATGTAAAGTAAAAACATCAAAAGGAGAACCCTGAACAGCCAATTATATGTAGGTAGGGTTACATAGATAGTAAGAGGTGATTGATTTGGAAATTGGATACACATAATGCCTATGAACATAAGCATATCTAGATATGTTATTTACCAAGTAACACAGTGCTACACATAACTTGATAACCAAGAACAATTTTGAAAATCACACAGAGAACAGATAAATGTTGATCACCATTCTGAAGATAAGACTCACATCTTGGCCACCTCAATAACACCTTGCCGACAGGTCAATTCAGAAAGCTTCAATTTTTCAATCTCTCTGTTGATATGGTTTTGACACCCCCATCAGCATAACAAGAAAACTTGTTAGCACAAAGAAATATAGAAAATGAAAATGACTTTGATAAGAATAAGCAAAAAGTAAATGACAACTCAAGGTGTATATTTATTGCTTCACTTGTGCGATTAGAGGTATCATAATAACAATACACATTAGGACATAAACCACAAACTTTACTTACGTTTTAGCAGCCTGCCTGCCCTTCCCAATTGCAGCACCGAAGTATCTCTGAACAAATATGTACCAGATGAACAAAATTAAAGAAATCCACTACACAGGACCAAATCAAAATTAAAGAAATCCACTACACAGGACCAAATCAATTTAAGTAGAAAGAGGATTTTCTGACTGTAGATGTCAGGATATGATCGCTAATAATTATAATTAGCATTTCTCATAACTTGGAACTGATGGGAATAAATCAACTCACATAAGAAACTCCAGATGGTTCAACCACATACAACTCAGGGCCATCCCTGTCATAACCTCCCAGAATTATTCCGCATCCGAAAGGCCTGTAAAATTTATACTAGCTTCAAGGAAGAGAATCCAGCTAAAGGGATAGAAATCTATAAAATATAAAGAAATACAATATCAAACCTGAGCCACCAATATAGAGTACATAAATGTACATAACTAGCAACCCTTTCTGCAAGTTCTTTTACAGGGATAGGTTCACCGTAAACACTGCAAAACCAGGGAATGGTAAAACATAAGTGAAGGATGGGCAATACGTAATGACTAAACAGCAATTCCCAATACATTGATAGCAAAATAAGTACATGCATAGAAGTTAAAATAATTAATTGAATTTAAAGCTTCTGAGTGTTCCAAATACCCTAATGGCAGAGCAGCAGAGGATATGCATCACAAGAAACTTCAGGTGCTATTAATAGATAAAATGCTGGAGAATCCAATCTAAACAAGTAAACAAATGCCTGAAATAACACGACTTTCTTTTGTGCATGGTGTTATTCTGATGCCTTAATTCACAAACCTAAGCCGAATAACCTATTTGTTGGTAAAAGGACAACTATCACCTCACATTTATAGTGTTTATTGCGAGTTCCTTTTTAGCCTAAATTCAATTGATTTAATGTTTCCTCTCATTGGTTTTCACAATTTAAAGAATAATTTATAGGAACCTCTTGACATCGGATATTGAAGGTCAACAGGACTGCACCTTTTCACCTCTCTTCCCCCTCTCCATTCCAGTCCAGCACACAAAAATTATAATATAAATATCTTCTGTCTTGAATTTCCTCCTTACTCCGGTCATGCTTAGGTTACCACTTCAGTCAAATGTCAAAGATGCAAATTTGCTCATGAATGTCATCACTGAAGGAAAAGTATGTGTTATTTCCCCATTTGGGCCTCTGTCATCGATGCAGGAGAAATGTAAATGTTACAATATCCTAGCACAGAGGACTTAAAATCTGAGTTTAGGCATGGTGTTGCCAAAACTGGAAAGTGTGCAAATGGGTGTAGGGTTTAAGGTTTTAACTGTTTAAGAAGAAGAGAGACGAGGATTTTATTGAGTTTATGCATTCAATAAAAATTATACATGTATTCTGAGAATGAAAATATAAAGTATATACTAAGAAATGGCTTATGGCTTGTTGACTTGTATGTAAAAAAACTTAATCATCGCAAAGATATTTCATAAAATTATAAAAGGAAACAAATAAATATACAGCAGATAGCTGTAAAACAAACCTTTCGTAATTGGTAGCTTCAGATTTAGCTCGTGCTACAATTTGCCTACCATCTGCAGCTAGTCCAGCAACAGCCTGAAAATGGAAGAACATCAGCAAGAATAAAATAAAATGAACAACCAACAGTAAAAATAAGCACTGAAAGAAGATAAGACAAGAGAGAGAGAGAGAGAGGGCCGAGAGAAAGTGAGAATTGAGATATTAATAGAGAATTCTTGTAATTGTATCCAATGTCAAAAGTATGTTGTAATACAACAAAAGGGTTTACTATATTAATGTCTAGCACTGCCGCATCAGTAACAAAAGGGTGATGTGTGTACAGGCCCATAAACTGCTCGACCACTCATATATTAGTGTTCAGAACATATTTGTTTCAGTAAGTAAAAGAACAACAAAGTTGCACAGGAATTATATATTTGTCGAAGAAAGGGCCACGAGGACTAAGCATCTTGAATCCTCATCTATGAGTTAGCCAGATATCTACAGTACACCATTTGCCATCAAAACCTTAATCTGTTTTTTGGGAGATATGGACAATTAGATAAATATTACTGGAATGCAGAATCAGGACCTATCAACAATTTAAGTCCCTCGTACATCCCAAATCTGAAACAATTTCCAACAAATAGCATTCTTCAACCAAAGTTTCTACTTTCTAAGCTGAAATTTCAATATTTTCATAGCCATCAAGTTCCAGCACAGTTTAATTAAGACTTTAACTTAAAGCTTATAAAGCATGATTTCTGCTGGATCTCCCATTTTGAGGGTTAACCAAACGAATCCTGGGATTTGGAGTTACGAAGGTGTGGCTACGAACCACGGTGTCGGGGATCGGGGCATTATCCCGATCTTAACCCATCACTAATCTAGAAAACTTGTAGAAATGTATATAAGATAAAAACCATGAAAACTTGAGGATAACATGGTGAAGAAACAAGGAAAATCTAGAAGAGAGGGAAGTCTGCATTAAAATGCAAATACTCGTCCGACTTAAAGAACTAGAACTATAACATTTTGTAAACTCTATAAAATGAAACCCACGAGACTAGAGGGTAAGAGAGTAAGGAAAGACCAAAAATCTAAACGGGTAACCTCAAATATCCTTACATCAATTCCCTTAGTAACAGATAACCTCAAATATAATTGTTAAACAAGATAAAGTCAGTGGGTAAAAGGAAAATCCTCAATTTGACTAGTATTTCTTTTTTCCATTAATATGCATCAAAAGAAAACAATGAGTGCAGTATGTCTTTCAGTCTTTCATCTCTTCATCCTAAAAACATATTGTTGTCCAATGTTTATGGAAGCACACTCTTCAGATTCTGTAAACCCCATGTTCATTTTTGTCATCCCTTACAGCCAATCTACTCATTTACCTAAACCAGTTCACCAATAAAAACACATTATCAACTCAAAATCTTTTCATCGTAAACATAACAATTAACCCTTTTCAAGAAATGAAATTGAACAAACATTCGTCTATGTCGAAAAGTCACTACACCCAATAAAATAAACACCCATGCAGAATATTTCATAATGAATCTAAATCGTTAAGACCATAACTAAAAAACCAAAAATTCCAAAGCAATAGTAAAAATATTACCATGCCAGAGTGGCGATGTACTGCATGGATTCTTCGGTTGGATCCTTGCAACATCATCTTTGACGCTATCAGTTTCTCCACTCCCTAGAATCAACATTAAGACAATAAAAACAGTAATAATTTAACAAAATAAAAAACCCGAAAACCCGTAGAGAATACGAAACCCTAAAACTAACCAAAACGAGGCCATCTTGGCAATCATTTACCATGAAATTTACATTTTTAAAAAGGTATAGATAGAGAAATAAAAAAACCGAAAGAAATCCTAGTAGCTGAATAATAAGAAACACTATTAACTAACCAAAACGATGCCATCTTTGCATTTGATGCCGACAACTGTACCGCTATTGTCGACTGCCTTGGCGGCGTACTCGATCTGGAATACGCGGCCATCGGGAGAGAATGTGGTCACCGATAAATCGTAACCAGTTCCTATGCTACTCATCTTTTGTCTTTCTTTCTGTTCTGCTACTGATTTTTCGCTCTACTTTCTCTATATGCTATGGGTTCTGTACAGGAGTTTTCGTATGTGCCAAGACAGACTGAAAGGAGAGATGAAAGTAAAAGGCCAAAATGCTCGGACCGACCGGGCCTGGTCTGGTCAATCCGGCTCAATGAGAACTTCAAATTGCGCATAAATTCAAACAATGGATCAGGTCCAATTCTTTTTATACTCCACTATTTTTTTTTAAAAATTTATATGAAATTCATATAAATTAACTTAACATCAAGAATGTAACTAAGACAATTTTGAAACTTTTTTAAAATTCAAATCTACAGAAAGAATTGAGAATCAAACCGAAAGTATTACCAAAATATTTGACAACATCAACAAGCACTTCGCCATCAAATAATAGAGGCCTCGTATCGAACATGTACTTTGGCGGATTCATGCTTAAGATTGGTTGAGCCAACCTCAACTTCTAGCTTACCAAAACTAAAGCAGCACAAGTCTTGTCTAATGCATTGTAGTTGAGCTCTCGTGCATGAATTTCTTGGTGAAATTTTTCTATTTTTCCTCTTTTCCTAATTTTTTAATAGACAACTTTCAAACGGCAGAGTGAGTCGGTCTCTTTCTTAGAAGCTGATTATAGAACCCTTCTATCAAACTCACTTGGCAACTTGGATGAAAGGGCCACATGCATGGTGCTAGCGATCAGCACCAAAAAGAGCTTGAGTCTTCTATTATTAGAAGGGCTCTTCATAGAAAGGTTGTACTGATGACGATGATATCACAAGAGGGTAAATTTCTTAATTGAACATTCTCTTGTTGCCTTCTAAAGCTTTGACAACCATTCCAAGAAAGGCTTTCCCAGCAACAAAAGGAAATACCGATAAAATGAAGAACATTTCCTACCAAGAGATCAGTCCAATAATAGCACTCACTGATAAATAGAGCAATACTTCTTCGCGAATCTCTATTTGAATATTGAACATAGAAAAAAAAATGAATAGGAACGAAATGGCCATAGCACCTATATAAACTGCTGGGAAGATCGGCATGGAATCGAACCAGCTAATATGGTCAAATAAAGCATTCAATTGTGCCCAATACACAGGCGGGCTTTTCTCAATCGCATTTTGTAGAAATATTCGTGTTCAAGTGACGATAGCAGAATTGATCATAGATAACAAAGTCAGGATAATCACAAACTTTAAAACTTTAAAAATCACGAAAATAATGGTTTGATCTTCAAACTCCAGTACAACTTATTTCATTGAATTTTGAAATCCAGGCCAAAATGAGCTCATGTCTGATTTAAGAGCAAACTAACAGAACTCCATTAATGGAGTCAATAATCGAAAACAGCTGTGGAATATTTATTCTTCTGCAGCAACCACAGTGATCTCGCCTTTATCCAACAAGTCATAAAATGCACGAACTTTTCTCTGCTCGTTCCAGTGATGCATCTTCCATACACTACCTGCTGCAAAACCAAGCACGATTCCAATAACTATCTCCTTCACCACACTCGGTCCTTTCAAAGTAGCGTGGGCGACCCTACTGCCAGCCATTTAACGTCTTGCTAGAAGTCTACAAATCCTGCAAATAACACGTTATACGGTTATATTTTATTACAATTGAAAGCATTTCACAAGTTCCACTAAACAAAACTAATTTAAAGCAGCTAGAAAAACTGAAATAACTATGAAACGAGTCATTCTTTCTCTCTCTTTACATAAAATTTTCTATGGAATTCCAATTATCCAAATAATTCTCCAGGTGAAAAAACATTAGCAAAAAGTGAAAACTGAGACCCAAACCTCACACTTGTCGCTGTGTTTTTAATTTTAGAAAGACAAATTATGCTTTATCAACTTATGTCATGGTTAAGGCGGTAAATCGGTGAGGTTTACTCTTTCTTTTTTAAATCCGAAGAAGTGCCAATGGACCTCCCAGTTAAATCAATTATTTCTTCGAAATGTTAAATAAAAAGATTACTATGTGATTTTAGTAATTTATATGCCCATATTGTTTTCAATCATTGATTCTTCCATAAATATTCATAAAAAGTTTTGTACTCTATCCCTTTTATATCCCCACGAAATATCGCATGAAGTAGATCACTTAGAAGGGATGCAATGAAATTCTTTGATTGGCTCTTCCCAGGGCAAAGGAATTATCCATTTTTTTTATTTGACTACGGGCCAACAAACAATTAATTAATCATCAATCTTTCTACTTGCTCCCCTAGAAACCAGGTAGAAAAAAATGGAAAAATGAGTCATTCAAAACAACCAGATTCATAAACATTTGAACTATGATTCTGCATGAATTTTTTACTTTCATTTATCTAACCAGTAAATCTACAATCATTTCTAAAAATGGTAACACCGAATATATGGATTAAATAAAATAGCATTACTGATTAACGATCTCCAAATGCTATCCGAAACCAAAAATTATGATTTAAAGCATTTGGTTGATCTATAACATAGATCTAACAGGGATGGTATCCATAGAGTATATTCGATANTGCGTTGTTCAATGAAATATGTTTCATCAAAAAAAGTCTATCATGAAAATTCTGAAGATATGCCATATTTATAGGAAATTCCGTACCCACATACTAAAGGATTAAAAAAAATCAGGATTATAAAGGACGTATAGAATTTTAAACATTTGTAAACGTATAATCTCTATTAATAATATTTGCAATGACATGAAACCTTATAAAGTTGCAAATCTTGTGCGATATAGTCATGATGATATGGCGTTGCAGCATCGTGGAAACGTTTGCTCGAGGACTTGACCAAGGTCGCGTCCCCAAGGCCAATATACACAATCGAGTACAAGATATTGGTCAATGCTCGTTAGCACAACCAAATTTGGGTACAATATAATAAAATACATCTTTATATTCATGTATTTGTCTTCATAATCCATATCTCGACATTATTTACAAGTCAATTTCGTCTTTAGATATTAAGAAGATCTCTTACGCAAGCGCCCACTTTTTTGTAAGCAAAACATAATCTAGACACTCACGTACACACACTCAATTATTGTGACAGAGGAATTATCCATTTTTTTTATTTGACTACGGGCCAACAAACAATTAATTAATCATCAATCTTTCTACTTGCTCCCCTAGAAACCAGGTAGAAAAAAATGGAAAAATGAGTCATTCAAAACAACCAGATTCATAAACATTTGAACTATGATTCTGCATGAATTTTTTACTTTCATTTATCTAACCAGTAAATCTACAATCATTTCTAAAAATGGTAACACCGAATATATGGATTAAATAAAATAGCATTACTGATTAACGATCTCCAAATGCTATCCGAAACCAAAAATTATGATTTAAAGCATTTGGTTGATCTATAACATAGATCTAACAGGGATGGTATCCATAGAGTATATTCGATAAATAAACTCTATTGGGAGGAAAGAGAAGTACCACTAAACAAGTGAAATTACACCTATGAAGCTACTTATAAATATAATACAAGATGAGAGGCATAAGTTATGATGTTTCAATCAATAAAGTTCTCAAGTTGCTCAAACTCCATTCCTTTAGAGATCTCTAATGACCTAGGAAATGGGGTTGAAGGAAAAAAAGAACAACTTCACTTCAAAATTAATTAGTAACATACTTTTCAGAAAATTGGGAATCACTCTCCAGTTATCAGTTCTGAAGTTACTCAGCTTAAATTAAACATTAAACTATTCTTCAATCCACTCATTTATTCACAATACAAACATCAAATAGCCAAATTGTTTACATGATACATATTTGTTATTCCTTTCCCAGAGTAAATTATTATGATATTAAATGTTTTAAACAACATAAAAAATCTACTTCTGATTACAATTTGAAATATTGTATGTAAATGTTGATTTGACAAAAAATCCAGTGTATTTTGCAACAATAGTCAATATTAGGCCCAAATTGGATGCCATCCCCAAAGGAAGTAAATTCACACATACAACATCAAGCAAACACACCATATCAAGATCACTGGTCAATCACTTTAAACTTTTTTCTTCTCCGAGAGATCCAAAAAATAGAGAGGAAGATAAACATTGATCAAGAAAAAAGTGTAAGAAAAAGCAGATATGAACGACTTCTATTATGATTTCATAATCCATGTGAAACATTTTTGTATTATTCAACAGCAATTAGACAACAAAAAAGGAGCTAAGGAAAAAAGTGTAAGAAAAAGCATAAATGAACAACTTCTAATATGATTTCATAATCCATGTGAAACGAATCCAGAAAAGCATCGTGCATCTTTCTAAAGTACAAACCCACATAATCACCAGAGACAATTAGGAAATATAAATAACGTCCAGCTTGAATTCTTTAACCATTAAATGTGTTGAATTCATATAGGCATAAAACAATGCTCTTCCATATATTACAAACTTCATTTTGATAAATCAAGAGCTTTGCTGAGAGCTTAGTGCTAAAATCACAAGGTACTCACATGTTTAATAACCGTGCAAAAGCTGCAGTTAGCATTTCTTGAGATTTTAACAACTGTTACATAGACTAATAATTGACGACAAAGTTATTTTATTGCTATTTTATTCACGCGCTTAACAGAATAAAACAAGCTAAAAATAAGATTGAATTACTCAAATCTGTAAATGAGTATTGCGTAAATAAAGACATCTGAACAACCACTAATAGGAAAAGATTAACCCACACTTCCTAGTCATAAAGTCAACAAAGCAATAGTGTAACAATTTATAAAAACATTTAACATAAACCACATGCTTTTTAACAGAAATCAGAAAATGAAAAATCATTACCACAATTTAGACCAAAAAAAATAACTGAAATTGTCCAAGGACGTACAAAATCCTAAAAATAAAAATCCAGATTCCCGATTCTAGAATCCAGTCTAGGTCAATCCTTCCATCACCAATCCCAATCCATACGAACTGAATATTAAATCAAATCAAAACCATAAGAAATCTAAAAGTGCAAATAAATTGCAATTTAGATTTGTGCAAGAACAAGCGCGGTTAGAGAGAGATTACCTCAGATTCGAGAGAGAGAGAGTTTCCGATGGAGATTAGCGTGAAAAATAGACCGCAATGGCCATGTTAGTATGTTATACCGTATTCTGAGGCTGTTGACTGGGCTAAATTTCATCACAAATGCTTTGGGCCTAATTCTAACCCAGACCAATATATAACCCATAAATGTGAGTACTTTTTCGAAAATAAAATCTTATTTTCTTATAGATGTATATACTAGTAGTACGAATAATACTACTTGTATATAAACGGTAATATAATAATTTACATAAAGACGAGGTGTCAAAAATAAAGCAAGAAAGTTTTTTTTTTATTATTATTTGGTTGAAAAAACTATTATCCAATCATATCCCACCACATCATATGTATATAAATTTATATGTATATATGTAGTATAATTGTACTGGTATTAGTATCTCTCTTTCCCATGGTAAGATTCGACCATAGGACCCATAAAGCGTTCACTAGATAGTGATGACGAAGATGAGGAGCGATGACATTAGAGGAGGGATTAGAGGTAAGGGCAATATGAAAAGTTTTGTTTTAGGTGAAGACTATATTGATCTATGGATGTAGGTAGTATTTTTCTTGTGAGTAGCTAACAAAACTTCCCTACGACCAGTGATAATGAGAGAAATGATCTAACAAGATTATGCTAACAACAATGACATGACATGTCAATTAATTGGTGAATATGATCATTTAATTCCTAAGAGACACCATGAACTTATTCATCAATTAATTGATATGTAATTTCAAGAGTAACTATACTTCTTGTTTTCCTTTTCATTCGCCTATACCATTTTACGAGCAACCATAAATCCACCTACATTTCATCAATAGTTCATTGTCCTTTCGACTTAAAACCTCACACTTTAAAGACCACTTTTTTGTCTCTTTGAGATTATCATCACACCACTATGCAACGGAGGCACCCTCAACGCCTTGTGCTTTCTTTGGGAAGGAGGTGACGAAGGTGTATGTGGTAGAAGTTTTGAAAGACGGTATTATGAAGCTAGAAGACCGCGCTAAAGAACAATTAATTTTTCTTTCTGAAAAAAGATCTTTATTAAGAATCGCAAGAAACATTGCTCAAAATCCTTGAACATTCATGTAGGCTAGTTATTCTATAATTTTTTGTAGAATATACTGTAAAAATATCAATGATTTTTCTTAACATTATTTATATTTGTCGCGGTTATATTTATATGTGTGGTCATCCTCCTCGACACTTTCAAGATTCGACTTCATACAACAATACTTGATTATTATATCTTTGTGATCGCAATTTTTGAATTGATTTCTACAATTTATCTTTATTTGAAGTTTCTAACAAGGGAAAAA